ATTCAAATAACAAAATTAATATAATTTTGTTAATTTTTATTATAAGTAGTTATTAATTATTATTAATCAAGTATTTAACTTTAATAAAATCCATTACAAATTGTTTTTAGTAGGTTAATAAATTTTTTATAGCTTAGTACAGAAAAAGAAAACCTTAATCGGTCAATAATTGGTGCATTTACCCTATGGCAAAAAAAAAAAAAACTAAAAATGCAATTTTTTTTAAATAATTTTTTTGAACAAATTTATTTGTTAAATAAAATTAAAAAATTGTCAAGTGACTGATAAATTTAATGTCATAAATTTAATTATTAAAAAAGTTAAATAAAAATCGTTCAAATAATTAAACGTTTCTATTAAAATTTATGTAGCAAATTTTTTTACCCACAAACTACAATCGGATTTGTAGGTCTCAGCATAGTGCACAATAAAAAGTGTTTCAAAAAAAAAAAAAAAAAAAAAAAAAAAATAAAATAAAATAAAAAAAAATTATACCTTTCTTCCTATTTTTGTCAGAGTCAAAATGTTCATCGCTATCTTCCTGATAATGATTAGCCATTTTATTTTCTTTTCCTTTTTCTTCACTGACAGATCCACGTGCTTTAGAGTCGCTCCTTGGCTGGGTAACTTGCTGCTGAGGAGGCTGCGGCTTCACGAGGCCGCCATTCTGCTTGGAGACTGGTACTGGTGCCTTTTTCTAGATAAAAATTCATCAGTATTCTTCTTCATAATATCATGACTTAAAAATACTATTAATGTTATTGTCATATGATGTAATTAAATAATTTAGATGGATTTAATGTGCTAACGCATTTAATCCGACAATATAAATATTGGCTATGAATTATTTTATTCAGCGCTAGCAATTAATGTTGCAAAAAGTTTTGAGCTAACAAACAGTTCATTTGCAAGCGCCTAGCATTTTGCATTTTGCATTTTGCATTTTTTTTTTTTTTTTTTTTTTATTTTATTACTTTAACTGTTTTAAATAATAAGAGATAACACGCCAGATAACAAAACTCACTTCGCCTTGAGCTCCCAGCGACGGCCAATCGCCAATATCCGTAAAATCACTCGCCTAAAACAAATAAAGACGACAATTAAGACCCGCGGATTTGTTTCCCAATTGCCTTCTCTATTTGAGCCGTTTAATTAAAAAAAAAAAATTATTTAATGTTTTATATACCTTCTGATTGAATTTTCTTCTGTCTCTCGGCGCTTTGACAATTGTCGGCTGACTACTTGCATTTTCTAGAAAAATAAATTCACATTTAATTATAAAAACTCTAAAAAATTAATAATAATAAAATTAGCTGATTTTTAATTTTTTTTAATTATTAAATTAAAACAAAAAAAATTGGATTTTTTAATTTTTTCATGTTTTTTACAAATGAAAATTTTTTTTTATTTTTCTTTTTTAAATAAAATAAATTCTAAATATTTTTAAATGTTGGCTAACTTAATTTTCATCTAATTAATTTAATTAAATTAAATTCATTAATTTTTATTATTTATTTGTTCATAGTAAACTTTTTGGAGTTAGATTCGTTATTTTCTTTTTTGGACTGAACAAAAATAAAAAACTCAAGTATTAAAAACATTCATTGATGTACGCCGGGTTCGAACCCGGTCCAATGCTTTGGTAAGCAAGAGCCGGATCCAATAGGCTACACGGAAAGAATAAGATAATAACACTGTATATCATCCCACATTATACCGAGTGAAAAAAAATTTTGAATAGTAACTAGTACAATCTAGATTACAATGAGTATAATCCAGATATCAGTATAATTTGAATTTTACTAACTAATATCTGAAATTTTTTTTCACTACAGATATCACTGAATATAATCTGGGATGATATCCAGTGTCATCTTGTTCTTTCCTTGTAAAGTTTTTCAAATTTTTTACAAATAAAATTTTTTTTTTGCAATAATTTATAATTTATTTTTCCCACAAAAAATATTATAAAAATTTTTGCTAACTTAATTTTCATTATATGTGCTTGTTTATTATTATTATTATTGTAAAGACACTGAATTTATTAATTTTTTTGTTAAAAAAACGAATAAAATTTTAGACTCTAAAAAAACAAAATAAAATAAAACGTTTAATTAAAAAATTTTTAAAGAATCCTACGAAAAAAATTCCTGATATAAAAATTAAAAACTATTATTAGTAAAAATTCTTAAAAGCATGTTTTTTAATATAACTTACTCCAAAAATAATAAAAAAAAAGTTTCTAAAATCTAACTAACAAATTAAAAAAATCCAATAAAATTTTACCTATTTTTCCCTGCTGTTGCGGCTGCAAGACCCTCTTCTCCCTCTGAACCTGCACAGGAGTCTGCTCCTTTTGAACCTGAACCGGAAGACTAACTGGCGTACTAACAGGATTAGCTGGACTAGAAACAGCCGGTGGAGCAGCTAAAGAACTCTTGGTCCAGGGATTAACAGCAGGCAGCGGCGCAGCAACATACTTAACCGGCTGGGCCTCACCACTCTCAACCTCCTCTTTATCCTCCTTAAACTCCTTGACCTCCTTCACCGCAGTATGTTCTCCACTACGTTCTTTTTCCTTATGAACCCTCTCTTTACTCCCAGCACTCCTGTTTCTAGGATTACCACTCCGCTCAGGCTTGTGTCTCTCCCTTTGTAAGTGATGATGGTCCCTAAACTTCTCCTGGAATTTTTCCTTCCTCCTCGCAGACTTAGGAGCTACCGTCTGAAAATCCCCATCAGCAGTTCCATCAGCACTAGCCAATCTATCCTGAGACTGATTGACTCTATTGCGCTGCTGGCTCAGGTCTTTTTTATCTTGATAATTTTCAGACCTTCCTTTACCTTCTCTTTCATCCTGTCCATAATATCTTCTTTCATATTTAGACCCGTAATAAGAATTAAATCTCTTGCCATTATTTTTGTGACTACTTCTACCTCCTCTCTGTACATTATTATTATTATTATTATTATTATTATGATTACTATTATTATTATTATTATTATTATTATTAGGCTGCTGACTCTGCAGAGGGACACGTTCTTTAGCCGAGTGTAATTGATCAATATTTTCTTTATTACACTCTTTATTAGCAGTTGGAGTTTGCTGAAGCGACTCGCCGGCACTCTTAGGGTTAACCACGCTGGCATAAGAAACACCGGGGCCCTCGTGAGCGTCGTTGCTACCCTGAGTGCTGCTAGCCACTTTGGTCGCCATGTTGGATTTATTCGTAGAGACAAAAACACGAGGTATCCGCCGCTACGAATTAACTGGAATATTTATCGGCTATAATCACTTATTTTAATTAGTAAAAAATAAAATAATAATTTTTTTTATTTTTTAGATTATTAATTACCACGCATTTTATTTATTTTATAATAATAAAACATATTTTATGTCCATTTTTTTTACCGCAACTTCTTATTCATGGTTAAATATTTATTTTATTCGATGACAAACTCTTGATTTTTTAAAATATTATTTATAATTAATTGTTGTACCTCCTAACAATCTGCTGATGATATATCTTCTTTCTTCAATTATTTTATTATATTTATTATACACGTTTACAATTTACTCGCTAAAATATGCAACGTGCGTTAAAAAAAAAATTACCAGAATATTGGAGAAAACACGTGCTGCGCTCTACAATGGTTTTTTCAACTACAGGCAGTAATTATATATAAGTTTTTCAATGTTAACGACACTATTGCTTGAAGACACCGCTGATATATAATGTAATATATTATATATTATTATATATATGTATGTATGGAGGTATTAACGTTTTTGTTCACATAAAATATTTTAAAACTTTTGATAAAATTTTTTAGGTCCACTTTTGATTTATAAAATAAATAAAATAATTATTTATTTATTTAATGATGCTTACGTTGGTAGATATTAATTATTGGGAAGATGTATAAGTATGTAATTGTAGAAAAAAAAAAAAAAATGAACACGAGGTTTGGAAAAACGTGGACGCTGACTCGGCGTATTTATATGGAAAATCAATACTTAGCGCACTTATTGTGTTGGAAAAAATAAAATAGTCTTATAAGTAGGTGATTGGTAGAAATATATACATACGTTTGGAGCGAGCAAGCGAGTGCGGGTTAATAAGGTAACTACTGGTGGGCAGTGAGACTTAACTGGCTATTCACAGAACGCACTCGGATACCTTTTAATTTTTTCTTGATATAACAGATGATACGTCAGCTCTATTTACATGGCTAATTAAATCCACTACACGTCTTACTTTTTCCCGGAAATAATCTCATAATCGTCTATTACATAAACAATGCTCATTTCCGAAGTTATTTGAGATAAAAAAGGTACAACACGAACGCAAACGCATGTGGTCAACGCTCCTCTCGCCTGCTCAGCAAGGGAAACCAGATTCGATAAATTTCCGGTTTTGTCTCTACTCAGTAGTCACTGCTTTTTAACCTCGTGTCAATTTCAGATGGCGTTATTATTCTTCCCGGTTTATTTTAGCGGGATTTTAAAATTTTAATATGTTTTTATTTTTTTTTTTTTTTAGCTTTTAAATTTATGAAATGGTTATAAAGTTAGCCGACGTTTTTAATTTTTTGATTTTTTTCTTAATTATTAAATTAGATCTAAAAAATATTTTTTAAAAATTGCACTTTTAGTTTTTCGAGTTTTTTTACAAATGAAAATTTTTTTTAATTATTTTGTAATAGTTTTTTTAATAAAAAAATTTATGAAAGTTTTTAGATGTCGGCTAACTTAATTTTCATTAATAACAATACTAAAGTTAGCCGACATTTTTAATAATTAAATTGGAACAAAAAAATATTTTTTTTTAAAATTGCATTTACAGTTTTTTAAGTTTTTTACAGATGAAATTTTTTTGTAATAATTTTTTCAATATAAAAAAATTCTAAACATTTTTAGATGTCGGCTAATTTAATAGCTGTTAAAAGATTTTTAGAATTTTTTTTTTAATTGAAAAATTATTACAGAAAAATTTTCAATTGTAAAAAACATGAAAAACTATAAGTGCAATTTTTAAAAAATATTTTTTAGTTATATTTTAGCGTTATAATTATCAGATATTTGAAAATTTTTTATTTTATGACATTAAAGTTCACCGTCACTTAATCATTTTTTTATTTTATTTAATCAATTTTTTTCTAGTCATTTTTAAAAAATTGCATTTATAATTTTTTTAAATTTCTACGTCAATTTTTAGTTTTTACTTTTTTATGCCATAATTTATTTGTTAAAAACATTAAAAAAATTATTAAATGTCTGCTAAATTAATTCTTATTTGATTTAGTCACTTTAAATAATTTTCTTGTTTTTTTTTAACTAACAAATTTATTTAAAAAAAAAATTATTTTTAAAAAATTGCATTTTTAATTTTTAAAAATTTCTACATTATCAATTTAAAAAAAAACTTTTTTTCTGCCATAATTTATTTGTTACATAAATTTTTAGAATTTTTAATTATCTGCTAAATTAATTTTCGTTGATTTTTTGAAGAAATAAAAATTATAAGTAAAAAAATACTTCTAAAAAATTGCTAGAATTAATTAAAGTGTATTTTTGATCTCCAAATAATTGTATATTGTCGATGAACAATAAATATCTTGACAAATATTTATATAAATTTACTTTCTATTCCAAGAGAGGAATTTTTAATATTTTAAGTTCACTTAAAACTGTTAAAAAATAAAATTAATCATGCAGTATGATTCTTAACATTTTTAAATTGTACAATAAAATAATTCTGTATACATATTCATTTATATATATATATATATATAAACTTTTTTAAAATTCATTAAAAATATTTTTTTGTCAACTATTTTTCAAATATTTCCGTGAATATCTGTCAAAGGATTCCGCAATTGTTGATCTAAAATAAATTAACATTAATAAAATAATTTATATTTTTAATTATTAAATAAATAAATTACCTAAATTGTTTCTGATGAAGCAAATAAGCGCTAACATGGCCAGCGTCAATAAAACGGACTTCAGCTCCAGGCCAAATTTTTTCCAAGCTCATACAATTGTCACGCGGAACATAAGCGTCGTCTTTAGCGCAGACGGCTATTATTAAATTAGTATCAACAGGTACTTCGAAGTTACGTAAATGGGTACACTCGTCCATTATACCACGCATAAATTGGAGCGCTTCCTGTTCGCGACGTTTATCTGTTCCATTATTTTTTTCGGCAGGAAGCATACAGACATCTGTGTAAATAAAATATTATATTTAGTACATTTTATCAAAAAACTGGAAACATGTTTAATAAAATTTAAGTTTTTATAAATCTAAATTACTTATTATACTTAATATTTATTTACCGTCCATTAATTCAGGCTCTGAAGGTTTGAATCGTTTTGATATAAGATTCAGAGGAAACATTTTAGCAGCTGCTTTTTCAACCGCTGCCGATTCGTCTGTTACGTCGAAACTTGCGCGCTTTATTATATTATTGTCTTGATTTTTATCCGAATTTTTTTTAAGATCGTCTGTAAGCTCGCACATTCTTCTTACGCTCGCAGGAAAATGTTGAGCGAAATGTTGACCGGCTAAGAATGCATCCTAAAAAAAATGATTAATAATTAGCAACCTTGCAGTCACTACGTGACTGCTGTCACTTTTAAACTATAAATAGTTTTTAAAGATATAAGCTCATCCCGATGTTACACTCATCAAGAGCTTTCATTTGAGTACCCACATGCATTTTTGATATATTTTTCATATATACATATATGTAATATATATAATATATATAAATATATAAAATATATGGAAAATTGATGTGGGTACTCAAATGAAAGGTCTTGATGAGTGTAATGTCGGGGTGAGCTTATATCTTTGAAAATGTCAATAGTTCACAAGACACAATGTCATTTCTTAATTATTGACATTTTTAAAGATATAAGCTCATCCCGATGTTACACTCATCGAGACCTTTCATTTAAGTACCCACATGGCAATTTTTATATATTTTATATATATGGTATTTGTGGAATATATAAATATATAAAATATATGAAAAATTGATGTGGGTACTCAAATGAAAGGTCTTGATGAGTATAACATCGGGATGAGTTTATATCTTTAAAAATGTCAGTAGTTCACAAGATACAAGGTCATTTCTTAATAAATCTATAATTGATAAATTTATCAATAAGTTTATAAATTTACTTACATCCTGATCAATTATTTTAACCATTTTAGCCAAATCATGTTGATACATAGTATCAGAAAAATATTGCGACTGTAAAAGCGACCAATTTATAGAATTAGCCATCACTCCTTGGGTAAAAACTGGAGAAGCTGTGGACCAAGACAAGCAGGGGACTAGTGAAATTGGTTTTGGCCAATTTGTAGCTGCTAGCGAAGCCATCTACGATTGAAAAATTAAAAAAATTTTATTCAAGAGTCAGTCTTTAAATAAAAATTTAAAACTTTCATCAGAAAATCAGCAGTCGGGTAAAATTAATTCTTTTGGAGTTAAAAATAGTATTAATAAACTTACATGACCGCCCATAGAAAGTCCCGTCAAGCCAAGGGGTCCTAATCCATTTTGCTCGCACCAATTCAGCAGAACGATGCACTCCATTATCAAACAACCTCCCATAATAAAAATATCCGACACATTTAGCAAATTGGAGCGACTGTAAAATAAATAGTTTTATTATTTATAATAAATATTTATAATAAATAAAATGAACTGTCATTTTTAAGACAGTACAAACCTGATTTTTTTTTCCTTACATTTGATCTTTAGGTTTTCTCAAGCCATAAAATGGATTTTCAAGCAACAATGATCCGATTCCAGATTCTTTTAGCAATGGTTTAGCAATTAGATTCCGTCTGCGCCAAAAGTACTGTTAAAGAGTTAAATTATGTTAGAAATTTATTTTATTTTATTTTATTCAGATTAATTTAGTTGAAATAAATTACGTGGTCTCCAGTTCCTGCAAGATGCAAACAGACGGGTTTTATTTTGTGAGAAGTCCACTTTAGAGGTAGTATTAGTTGAAAGTATGAAGTTTTTGTTTCCTCGGGCATTATATTTGGTAAATGTTGTTCAAATGGTGATTCAAAATTTCCTTCGATTATGTGATAGTCAGACCATTCTTCATCCTAGAGACATTAATAAAAAAAATCAAATATAAGACATAAATTATCACAATTTTTTTTTAATTTATAATTTATCTATTGATTGAAATTATCAATAAAAAATTTATATTTAATTTTAATAAAGTAAAATAAGAATTAAAATAAAATTTACTAATTTTTAAGATTTATTTGTCAAATAAATTGATTGTTAAATATTATTATTAATATAAGTAATGTAAAATTATTACCTTGGTTACTGTAATTGGATAGTCTCGAGGTATAAGATTATAACAAGCTTCTCGATTAGCAACAACTTTTCTAAATTCAAAAATCCTGTAAAAAAATAATAATTATAAAATTAAAAGACATTTAATTTTTTTTATTTTTTTTAATAAATAAATTTACTCCGAAAAATTATTTTTAAAAAATTGCATTTATAATTTTTTTAAATTTCTTCATGTCAATTTTTTGTTCTCATTTTTTTGCCATAATTTATTTGTTAGAAAAAAATTATTAAATATTTGCTAAATTCTCATTAAATTAAAAAAAATTTAATCTTTAAAAATTTATGAAGGAAATTTTTAAAAATTAATTATGAAAATTAATTTAGCATATATTTTTAATAATTTTTGTAACAAATAAATTGTCAAAAAAAAAAAAAAATTAAAAGATTGTCAAGTGACTGCTAGCTCAAGTGTCATAATTATAAATGATTATTACTATTATTAGTGTCTTTGAAAAAAAGTCATTGTAAGGTGAGTAAAAATAAATGAATAAAAAAATAAAATTACCTTCTCAAACTTTCAGGATTGCCCCAACCTTTAGTGAAAAATTTAGTCAACAATATTCTTCGGTAAACAGAGTCCAGCCGACTAGGTGGCATTTTAAACAACAAATTTAACAATAATACAGCGTATGTACAAACAAACAATAAAAGCTCTAAAATAGTTTTATTAAAATATAATTGAGGTATATTGGTCAATGTAAATACTTATCAATTGATAGATAATAAGTTATGTGCTATGTATAATATATATTTATCTTGTAAATATGTATGTAGTAAATATAAAGAATTGATTTAACATTGATTTGACTTGTAGTTGATACTGTCATTATTTTTATTATTCACTTATTGTTGGAGATAGTTTGTTCACTAGAGCGCGCTGGGTAATTTTTTTTTATTTTTTCCGCCACACCGGTAGGCGGCGCTGCTGTCAAATATAAATATTTTAGAGTTACTGAGAAGAAAGTGACAGCGCCAAAAATGGCTGACTACAGAAATGTGATAAAAAAAATACGAAAAAGTAGTTGAGAGTTAATTTATAGTTTAATTAATTATTTACGGATAAAGTGACAATTATAAAATTAAAAAAGTAGAAAAAAAATTGACATGTCGACATTTGAAAAAAATTAAAAATGCAATTTTTTGAAAATAATTTTTTAGAAAAAATTTATTTGTTAAAAAAAATAATTAAGAGACTGCTAATTTTAATGTCATCAAAATTACAGTAAAATCTCTATAAAGTTCCGCTGTGAATAGTTCCGTTCCCCTCAATCTTTTCCCCTTCTCTTTAATATTTCCCCTTCGTTCGCACGACATTAGGCGGAGCATATTTTATGTGTAAAAGCATATGTGTGAGGTCGATAAGATAGTTATTTTGCAAACCAACTTAGCCTTATCATCATAAAAAATATAAACATAACCCTTGCTGTATCAATATAAGTATTAGTAAACATGCAGTGCATATTATTAAAATTGATATTTATTAATAATAATAATAATAACAATGCTAGGATTAATTAATTAATTAATTAATTACTTGTGATAATATCAATAATTATTATGATAAAAAATTGTTTGATCAAAAAGCATTAGAAGCAGTTAACCTATTATAGCACTGGCATTAAATCAATTGTGATTTGAACAACTAAGATGTTATTAATGATTGTAAAGTTTTAGATAATATAAAAAAACGTATATTTAATAATTAGTTTTATTTATGATGTAATTAAAATAATACATAAAACTTTAAACAATTAATATGAAATATGTGTCAATTGAATTTGATTCTGACAAATTTTAGGTTATTGATATAAAACGAATATTTAAATTTCCCGGGCATTATTTCAATGTATTGGTGAGTTACCATCGTTTAGATTGATTGGTTTATAAGAAATAA